TCCGAACCATCAAAAAACCACCTAAAAACTGTCTGAACGGTCTAAAAACGGCCAGTAAACTGCCTGTTAACTGGCAATTAACTGGGAGTTAACTGGCAGTTAACTTGGCAGTTTTCAATGTCCTGGGAACTAAAGTTTACAGCAAATTTTCGGATATAAGGTATTTTCCGATCTAAATTTAATTCTTTAGCTAATTTAAAAAGATTTTCATTTGATTCATTTATTGATGATGCCAACTTGTTCAACTCTTTTGCTTTCACAGGTCGGTTAGGATCTACGAAATTAAATATAGGTAAACTTCGAGAACATATTAAGCAAATGAAACTAACTCACATGGAGGGCGTTCATCAGTTGGAGGTTTTCTTTCAAATTTATTGGTGATACCATTTACGAGTATCTCATACCCATATATTGCGATGAGCGGTTTGAGCGTGTCGATAACAGATTCAGCTGTAATACAAAATAGTCAAGCAAAGGTAGGGAATACTGAGCAACTATTTATGTTTACCACTCGGCTGTCTATAATTTTGGATGTGACTTTCTATCAAAAGAAAAAAGACAAAACAATGTCCTTTATAAAAATCTTAATAGTTCATGTATGTACCTCGCTGAAGATCAATCTGTTGTCCTGATGAATTTTCAGACAAATCTGGCGCTGATAAAGCAGTTTAATATCATTTTATTTTGTATAGGCATGGATACAAACATTTATCATTCTTAACTTACTTGACTGAGGATATTGTGGAGCTAGAATTGTGTACAAGTTTAAGTATTTTATCAGAAAAGATTGATTTTTTTCATACCTTGATTCAATGCATCGGTTTGTAAATCCAATCCTTGAGAAAAACAGTTAGATACAAGTATCTTGACTCAACAAGACTAACAATTTGCTCTGTATGGGAGTGTACTTTTCAAAAATTACACATGGGAAGAATTTCGAGTAAAAATCTCAGTTCTCCATTCTAGGATATTTTTAGAAAATATGAGCTCAGCACATAATTTTTGAACTTCTAAATGCCAGTTAATGGCTAATGAAATAGGCACTAAATGGCATTTATTAGACAATTGAAATTCGTTTTCGATCATTTTTACGCGTCGAAAATGGGAGTGTTTTAACGCCTAATAACGACTGTTTTAGCAAGTATTAATCTGCTTTTGAGTAATATAACCCATAATAATCCATTTCGGTGTGATGAATACTCGATAAGTTAGTATTACATTGGGATTTTAATAAGCTCGTCACTTGTTTGACTCGAAATATCAAGGATGGCTCATTTAGCGGTATAAAAGGTAGTAAGGTAAAATATAGTTAGAGATGGTGGATGGAAACTTACCTGCATGAATAGTCGCATCATCTCCGTTGGCTTCAAATGGAGCTTCAAGTGACCAATCCACTAAAATTAAAAGTTTCTGTTATTGTATTTCCACATGAAAAACGACGCTTATTTCGTGCACCTTTTTGCGGTTTTGAAGGATACAACTTCGATGGATGGAAGTTTGAGATTTAAACAAGGACCAAATGCGATTTCATTTCCTGTTTTTCTTTTTTTATGATCCGTTAGACTTACAAAGGTATCTACTATTCTACACTATAAAAAGCATACTCTATAGTGTAGAGTGGTGAATATCTCGGTAATTATAACTGATTATAAAAAAGGGAAAACAGAAAATGAGATCATATTTAGTCCTTGTTTAAATTCGAAACTTTTATCCAATGAATCTATATCCTGAAAAACCGAGAAAAGCTGAAGAATCTGCGAATGGTTTGATGAGTCATCATGATCTGCAAACATAAGTTGCAATTTTGTAATAAAATAAAAATTACTTGTTGCCAAATTGTGTTTAACAATATACTGAAACAAGTAAGAATTTGACCATTTATTCACTGAATAAATAAAACTCTGGTAGAGTTGGTAAATTATTTCACGTAACAGAATGCAACAATAAATCAATTCTTTAACGGTAAAAACCCATGATGATTCATTCATTTTCTGTAAGGTTAAGAAAAAGAGCTATACTTTCTTAATAAAACATACTTAAGGGAGAACGAAATGGAAAATAATTTTTGTCTGCATACGGACAGCGGATATTTTTGGCTTAGCAGGCAGACATTTGATTTTTCTCTGTTAAAAACGATTAGTTTTAGTTTAGTTTGACTTTCCATATCTCAAACTGACTAATGCAACATCATTTGAACTGTTCAACAAGCAAAAATTGGCAGTACAAATAATAAGTAAAAGAGACACACCTAACGCATGTAGTCACAGAGAATAACATAAAGAACACTGACATCAAACAGAAACTGAATTACTCAGTACACATACACACACAGAGAAAAAGGAGAAATACATAAATAGCAACAATGTAAAAGAACAAGAAGAAGGAAGGAGAAGCTGGATAAAACGAAAGAAAGGAGTGAGAAATTTTGGTTTAAAAACCTTTTGTGCTTTCGATGTAGCTAGTACCAAATAAATGAAGTTGTGAAATTTGTGCATAATCTACGGTATAAAAACGCTCAAAAAATAATTAGGTTGCAAATACGCAGGAGTGAAAAAGAGCCAGAGATAACCAATCAGAGAAAAGTATATCACGTTGAAACTGGTAACGTGGATACTTCAACGAAAACTGCTTGACGGTTTCAACTTTTTCACAAGAACAAAGCCGACTAGAACTAGTGCCCTCCATCAGGATCTTGTCGGGATTGAGTATTCTTGCAATAGATAACTGAGTTCGTATGCTAAATTTTTTCGAGTTGCACGATAATTCTCTATTAGAAGAGTATCTTTTCAAATCTGGTTTATGTTTGGTCGTAGAGTAAAGATCGACGAGACAGGAAAATCCCGAGCTATGTTTTTGCTGTAAATTATTCGTTACACGCTGGCGAGCAGTATCCAAATATGGCATTATTTTTATTAAAAATGTTTTCAAGTTGGTTAAAATGGATTTTAGATCAAGATCAGAAGGTTTTAATTCCTTATTGTATTGTTGAATTG